GAATGAAGCAGAATGATGAAAAAGGGGTCCCTATGTCCTCCAGCAGTCTAAGCCTATAGCAGCAGAACTATAGAGATAGATCAGGATAACCTGAGCCACTCTAACCATAGTGAAAATTTAAAATGAGATGTGAATATTTAAAGATCAAGTTATTTGGACACCTGGATGTCTTCTGCTGCCATAATGTCTTCTTTTATTACAAACAGGTTTTTCATGCTTTTTATTAAACTGGTACATGTGCAGACAATAATTATGTTTTTACTTTAACCTGTAACTGAGATGCTTGAGCTCCTCCACTTGAGGAGTCAATGTTATTTACCTATTGATCAATGAAAGGAAAAGATTGCTAATACAAGCAGCCAATATGTGTTTCCTTCGGTTCCTGTTCAGAACCGGTTCTGTGTGTCCCAATTCAATGGCACCACTTGGCAGCTCGCTAAAAGATTCTCTTAAAGATTCCAGGCAGCACCAGAGCCTAGCACTGGGCAGCACGACTTACGTCACGTTTTTTATGCAAGTTAAGCACACGACATTCAGTAAACAAGTACGACGTCACCAGGCGTAAGTCTAGAAAAGCTAAAGAAAAGGGGTGAAAGCGATGGAAAGTTTGGCTCCGTTTTAAGGAAGAGAAAGATGGCAACAAGGCGCTTTGCAATCTTTCAACCTATTCTCATTATGAGTGCGTATGAAATCGTACGAAAAGTTATGCACCGTAATTTTGTACGTTTTGGACGTTTTTTTTAGTCGTATGTGCATCTGACCACCATTCACGAATATAGAATATAAATTACAATTAGCCCTAACCCTGACCCTAAGATATAAAACAGCAAGCAACGTAGTTAGAGACATGAATAAATGATAATTGCACTGTTTTTTCCATTTTTACATCCGTCCGCGGATCTGCTTTTTTTTCTGTCTGCCTGCGCACTGATGTGGTTTTTTGAGGAAAAACTTCCAAAATGTACGAAATAGTGTGCATAACTTTTCGTACGATTTCATACGCACTGATAATGAGAATATGTTGGATCAATGCAAAGTGGTAATTACATCCACAGGAGGAAATACATCCAACATGGAGAAACACCTGCGCACATACCATGGCATTCATTTTAACGGATTACGTGTTTTTGATGCTTCCAGACAGAAGCTGAAGTTACGAACAGCATGGAAGGCAAATCGTTTTATACTAGTTTATATTACCGGCTGAGCCTAATGTGGTTCCTCATAAATCAGATGCAATTTCAGGACATAAACCAGTTTCCTATCTCTCTCTTTGAGGTTATTAAGGGGGTGTGCCTTTCTCATTAATCCAGCCCTTCACTGCTAGCATGTTTAATTAGAACTACTGCTAGCTGGAATTCTTACGTGATTCTAGCTATTGCAACGGATGTAACGAAACATGCTACCAAGTTGCTC